AAAAAGTGATGTTCTAATGTAAATCGAACATTTCGATAGAGAACATCATTTAATATATTTTAAATATTTAAATGTTAATTATAGTAATATTTTAATATTTAATAGAATTTTATTGTGATTAGACTGACAAGATTTAAACAAACAAATATATTCTTTACTTATAGGTCAAATACAGGCCTAATCCCTACTTTACGTGAATATTAAATTGGACGTCGTTTGCTTTAAAAAAACAGCTTGTCTTAAGAAAAAACACAGGCTACATAACGCAACATAAGTTACAGGCTGTCTCTTGTTAGTGCAGTTTATTTAAAACACTCTTTAAATAACTTTCATAATTAAAAGAAACACAAATTCTAATTCTCTGTACTGTGTAATTTGAAGCTTTTTAATAATAAATTTACGTGTGTGTACATGGAGTACATACGGGCTATTTAATTATCCATAAAATATAACCTCAGTGACCTTTGGGTTTTCGCGGCAGAGAGTGTGAAGATACCTGTCATCTGGGTTCTTGCGCCGTGTAGTATACTCACCGCTACTGATGATGGAGGCAGCAAGTACCAATGAAAAGTCAGTGAACTTCTACCAGACGACGCGGTACAAGAACCCAGAACACAGACCCGACTTTTCATTGGTACTTGCTGCCTCCATCATCAGGGCGGTGAGTAAGAAATTTTCTAAAAATATTATCCGACATGTTTTGGCATTACATTAGCACCAAAATAAGAAGCCACGCGTAAAAGCTCCTATCCCTGATGATGGCAGTAAGACGAAACATGTTGAGTAATGTTTATAGAAAAATGGTTACGATGAATGTGTAAAACTGAGATTGTGTCCCATTGGCAATTAAAAAAGCCTGTATGCGTTACGTGACTTATTTAAAAATTCAATTCATTTCCTTTATTAGAGTGTTTAATGGCAATGATAATAAAGAATTTAGTTGTATTAAAAGTTAACAAAAGTTCGTAAGATAGTGTAATTGCGTCATATTGTGAATATTATAACAATTATTTATTTTAATCCGTCTTATCACAATATTTAAAATTTCTTATAATTAAGATAATAAAATATCACTGATGCTCCATATCGATTGATCGATTTACATTTCGGAACATTTACACAACATGTTTCGGTTTTTATAAAACCATCATCAGGTGTAAAATATATCTAAGAACTTAAAACTCAATTATGATTTCTGTAGTATTTTGGTGATGTTTCATTACGTTTGTTTTACATTTTTGGGCGAAGGTGTTGTTTTTCTTAAATGTTATTAGATGTACATATCGGCCTGTAAGTAAAAGATTGAAAGAAACACTAAAGAATTTGAAAGAATTTATAAAAGAATTTAGAGAATAAAATGCAAAATATATAAATTATAGTTAGAAAGTATCAATAAGATAGAAATAAAAATAAAAATAAAACATACCAAAGATGTAGGAGTGAGTGTCCCGATATGTCCAGATGTACTAGTGTCTTCGAATAGGTGTGGGTCAATACTGACTTTGGTTGCTTGTGGAAGGAGTAAGTGAAAGGTGGCTGTGTGTTTCTACAATATTCAAGACTGGACTATTACGTTGTACGAATGACGACAATACAAAATTAAAGTAGGGATGCCTGTTGGCGTAAAATAGTCCATCTTGTTGCAGGCAAACCTCACAGTACTATACAAGATTTAAATCAGTGAAGTTACAAATTTAATACAATCGCAAACAACTCAAATGCCATTTTCTCACATTCTATTACGCATTTCCACTCAGTCATGTGCCACATAACTGCGGTATTAGTAGGCGAAATCAATATAATTTACGCGTAAAAATTCGTATACCACGCATTTCAAAATGTGATATGTGTACGCAGTACAAGGGGTCTGTCCGTTTACATTTCACTTCTGAACGGACATCGATTCAATTTGGTACCGTGTGTGCAAAAATATAGGCCGAATTTCATGTTTATCTGCAGGTTTGATCAAGATAAAAAAAACTCATACAAATAAATTGTTTAAATTTACCAAACGGCTTAATTTATCGGGGTGCAGATATCAGAAGATGACGTAACCCTAAATATGGGCCTTTTGGGTGAAAACAAACAGGACTACCATAAAAACTAACACAAAGCCTATTAGATGCTAGCAATGATATTGGCAGGCCTAAACACAGAAAGAATTCCACGTGTCAGATTTGAGACGGTGAGTCTGATAATTGCTGTCTTCTGGGCTCTACCTCAGCGTCTACCAACATTTCAGGGGTCGTTGCGGGCTCCATCATCAGGGCGATGAGTAACCTACTCGAATGTAGTGCGTACACATCCATCCGTTCGAACGAATTCAGCTGATTTGATTAAACAAACTTTTATATCAATAAAACACCGCACACAAACCCTGAAATACTAAATACTCAGTATGCACCGTGCAGATGCGGCAACTTCTCTGACTCCCTAGCTATACAGGTAGCCTAAACAAACGTATGCAGGCAAACTGTGACTAAATCCGGTGCACTACCGACTTCATGTTTATTTAATCTATGGTTTATTTAACGACGCTGTCAGCAGCTCAGAGAAGGAGCGTATTGAGTGAAATGAAAGGATAAGTTATGAATCGGGAAGGATATAGAAAGAAGCGGTCGATACTTTTACAGTAATTCCCTCCCCACCTCACTGTAAAGGAAAACACAGTCAGGATATGTCTTGATGCTGACAGTCATACTTATAATAACGTTTACGAGTAGGTCAGCGCAGCGGAGAGCTTCTGTAGTGTTTCTAATATTCTCGGTTCGAATTAAAGTTCCCGTGGTTTTCCTCGGTCTTTCAAGACAAACGTCAGTACAGTGACTTCGCAATGCGTAATACTGTAACGCACTGTGTCTAACGTACGCCTAAGCACATGGTCAACCCAATTTATGTAAGACTTGAGGTTCTCACAGCGGTGAGTATGAAGATATCCGTCTTCTGGGTTATTGCGCTGTGTAGTCTGGTCGAT